GGGAATTGTAAGGTGAAAGATAAAGAAAAATTTGACAGAACCATTAAGAAAGCCATCAAGATCTCTGGATATGATTTTATAAGAATGGATGAAATGTATAACTCCACATGTGTAAAAAAGATAAAAAGCATTATAAACGACCCATCACACCCCTTTTCCACACAAATTGTAAGATCACGCAGCGGCAGATATGTACCTCCAAAAACAAAGAAAGAAAGATATAAAAGAAGTTTTTTACCATCTAGCATAAGGCTTTTGTCAGAATGAGCATAGATGTGTGTTGCTCTTAGACTATGTATCTGTATATAACTCCAAAGGTCTAGTATTTAAATTCCTGCATGTGGTTGAATGATGCATTTGATGTAAATGTACATTTTGTCAGCCTTACTTCTCCTTTCATATTGAATTTTAATGAGAGTAATATATATGATTTAATTTTTTTTTATGTATACCTGCATGTGATTTTATGGTCCTGTACAGCCAAGGAAAATTTCCCTCTGGGATAATAAAGTACTATCTTATCTTATCTTATCTTATCTTATCTTATCTTATCTTATCTTATCTTATCTTATCTTATCTTATCTTATCTTATCTTATCTTATCTTATCTTATCTTATCTTATCTTATCTTATCTCATCTTATCTTATCTTATCTTATCTTATCTTATCTTATCTTATTATCTTATCTTATCTTATCTTATCTTCTATGAATACAGGAGAATACAGGAATGCAGGCTATCTTATCTTATCTTATCTTATCTTTTGCGTGTATTGAATACCTAGTGTAAGACTCTGATATACGGCATTTATTTTCTTTGTTAGTCTATTGCGTGTATTGAATACCTAGTGTAAGACTCTGATATACGCATTTATGGATGTCAACAGAAAAATCCTTACAGGGAATCAGACTTACTCTGCTCACCTCTCTAGCGGCGGATGTCAACAGAGAAATCCTTACAGGGAATCAGACTTACTCTGTTCACCTCTCTAGCTTCAACATACAAAAGAAGCAGAGGAAAAATGACGATAGTAAGGATTAGGAAAGAAAAAGCAGCACAAACATACAAAAGAAGCAGAGGAAAAATGACGATAGTAAGGATTAGGAAAGAAAAAGCAGCAGTTCCCTGTTGTAGTTCAGGCACAGTTATGAGCATAACATTGTTGAATCTGCCCATTTACAATTCTACTGTGCATAAGAACAAGTGAATGTCCCCCCTTTGGGAATGGCCTAAAGACACTTCAGTTAGTAGCCCTGCCCCTAGGGACGGGGATACGGTATTTGGAAAAGTGACGTATGATGAAGTCTCACACTGAGGAGTCAAAGTGAGGTGTGTGTGTGTGTGTGTGTGTGTGTGTGTTGGTGTGTGTGAGTGTGTGTGTGTGTGTGTGTGTGTGTGTGTGTGTGTGTGTGTTTTCGTGCGTGCATGCATGTATTTATGCGTGCGTGCATGTATTTAAGCAATGTGTATTCATAAATACATCAGTGGTTGTACATGTGTATACTTGTGTAGTCGAAATGAGCACAGTAAAAATCTCTGTATGTGGGTGGTTTGCAATTGATCAGGTGTTGTCTGCTCCTTCTTTCCTATCAGCGTTATCTCTCGTCCTGCATTATGTATATTATTACTTTCAAGTAACACCTTGAACCGTGAGTACTTATATAATGAGCTTTTTGTGTTGCAAGTGCTGTAAAACTTACTGTAACTAAAATATGTAGTAGTAGTAGTAGTAGTAGTAGTAGTAGTAGTAGTAGTAGTAGTAGTAGTAGTAGTAGTAGTAGTAGTAGTAGTAGTAGTAGTAGTAGTAGAAGTAGTAGTAGTAGTAGTAGTAGTAGTTATAGTAGCAGTAGTAGTAGTAGTAGTAGTAGTAGTAGTAGTAGTGGTAGTAGTAGTGGTAGTAGTAGTGGTAGTAGTAGTGGTAGTAGTAGTAGTAGTAGTAGTAGTAGTAGTAGTAGTAGTAGTAGTAGTAGTAGTAGTAGTAGTAGTAGTAGTAGTAGTAATAGTAGTAGTAGTAGTAGTAGTAGTAGTAGTAGTAGTAGTAGTAGTAGTAGTAGTAGTAGTAGTAGTAGTAGTAGTAGCAGTAGCAGTAGTTGCACACAGCTACCTGTGTCTACGATAGCCAAGAGCAACCAAAATGTGAGAGTCTTGACCGTTTGGTCCACGAGGTAGACGTTTCATAATTTTGGATTTTCGTTCAGTTGAAAAGAAGACAACATTCCTTCTCAATTAATAATGATATATGTTGGCATCCGAGGAAACGAGCAGTTAAACGACCTGGCGAAGAAATCCTCATCCCTTCTGTTGGGATCAACAACGAACACTCTCCCACAGACTGACTTTGAAAATAAAGTCAAAAAGTACACCTCCAGTCTGTGGGAGAGCCACTTGAAAAAACAGGAAAATAAAAAAACTCTATAATATAAAACCCAAACTGGGACCACGAAATCCTTCGGACCTCTCCAGAAGAGCCGAAGTCATTTTTACTCGATTGTGCATCGGACACATGGCCCTGACCCACACATTTAAATACCTCCTCCCTTACAGGGAGATGAGAAGCCGTTCTGTGTCGGATGCGTCTCAGATTTTACCGTTAGACACATTTTAACCGAATGTCTAGACTTTAGAGAGATCCGAAATAAATACTTTAAATGCAAAAAATTGCAGGACATTTTTCCGTCTTTGATCCCAACAGAATTTTGGATTTTATGAAGGCCATTGGCTTTTATGGAAAATTGTAGTATAGAACAAAAGTGAATATTATTAACAATTTTTATGAGAGTTGTTTTAGTCTGAAATTATATATCTACACCAAATGTTTAATATTTTAGCGTTTAAGATCAAAATAACCCATACACAGGTGTGTGGTAAACTACGTATAAAAAACTAACTTGTGTTTCGCGCGCTCATATGACCTTATGCAGTTGCGAGCGCCGTACAATACCGTACTAAACTAAAACTAAACTAAGCTCAACCCTGATTTAAGTGCAGGCTCTGAGCGCTTCACAATACAACAATAATATATTATTATAATCAGTACATTGTGTTCTGACCAAAAGAATATCTCTGCGCACCAAGATTCGACTCTTTAACTCCATTGACAAGTCTATGCGCCTCTACGGCTGCGATCTCGGAAGACAACAAAGACAGTAGGCTTACTGAACAAAGTTCAGACTTTCATCAACATATTTATGAGGAGTATCAGAAGAATTAAAGTGGCAGGATAGAATAAGAAATGAAGAGCTGTGGGAAAGGGCTGGACAAGAGGATATAGAAGTAGAAAAAGGACTTTAAAAGTGGCGATGAGTGGGATACACCTTCAGAAAGCCCAGCGGAAACATCACAAAACAGTCGCAGCAGTGGAACTCACAGAGAGCACGAGGCAGAGGTAAGCCACGGGAAACATGGAGGAAATGTGTGAAAATGGACATGAGAGAGATGAAGCTCACTTGGAACTGGCTTAGGAGGATGGCCCAGGACAGAGACAAATGGAAAGAGCTTGTATGTGGCCTATACCCTGCCAGGGGTGGAAGGCATTGATGATATATCTATTTCTTCCTCTTTCTATACACTGTCCCTTCTCTCTCTCTCTCTCTCTCTCTCTCTCTCTCTCTCTCTCTCTCTCTCTCTCTCTCTCTCTCTCTCTCTCTCTCTCTTTCTCTCTCTTTCTCTGTGTGTGTGTGTGTGTGTGTGTGTGTGTGTGTGTGAGAGAGAGAAAGAGAGACAGAGAGAGACAGAGAGAGAGGCTGAAAGAGAGATAGAAACAATAGAGAGGGGGGTCAGCCAATAAAAGTAGAATGTTGAGACTCTTTCAGTCACTCAATCTTTTGTATATATCAAACAAATTTTCTCATAAAAGTTTCTCTTCAACAAAAGGGTTTGTGTTGTGATAAAGGCTTGTCTATATCATACCACCTTCACCATTCCTAGCGGTCACCCATTGTCCATTTTTCACACCTGTGCCGGTCACGACGACGACTCACAAAATTTAGCGGACATAGACGACGATTAAGAAGCTGGCTTGTCATATCCATATACACACCGGCCTTTTGTAGATGTTCTGTTTTGATAAGTGATCTATGAAACGATTGAACTAATGGCCCTGAGGGAGCCAGGAGACTCCTGACAGGGTGGGGCGGACAATAGAGATAATGATGTCATCAGATCCTGGACTGACTTGCCTCGGCTAGTTTTTGTTAAAGATTTTAGTGAACTTTTGCGAAAGTAAACAACTTTGTTTCGCGCGCTCATATGACTTTAGCAGTTGCGAGCGCCGTAAAACCCTATACTACTACTACAAAGATTTTAAATTTTAATGATGGTCATTGCAATCAAAAAATCAAATCTTTAGATTAGGTTCTCTATAACCTAAGATGCCTATGAAGTACCTCCACTTTAAAAAATGTATATAAAAATACACCCCCCAAAAATGAACAAGCAAACAAAAATTAAAAACAACAAGTCCCTTAAAAATAGATAAAAAATGAAATGAAATAGAATAATCAAACATTAAAAGGCAAACAGAGAGAGAGACACAGAGAGAGAGAGGGAGAGAGAGAGAGAGAGAGAGAGAGAGAGAGAGAGAGAGAGAGAGAGAGAGAGAGAGAGAGAGAGAGAGAAAAGGAAACAAAAGTCAGTATATTGATACATTTTTTTCCTCTCTATTCTTGTCCTTCAGAGAAATTCTCTTGATTTGATAAAGTTTCTTTTCAACAAAACGACTAGTATTGTGATAAAGGCGTGCCTATATCAAACCACCTTCAACACTCCTAGCGGTCACCCATTGTCCAGTTTTCACACATGAGCCGGTTACGTCGACAACTCACAAAATTTAGCGGGCATGGACAACGATTAAAAAGCTCGTTTGTCATATCCGTATACACACCGGCCTTTTGTAGATGTTCTGTTTTGATAAGTACTCTATGAAACGATTGAACTAATGGCCCTGAGGGAGCCAGGAGACTCCTGACAGGGTAGGGCGGACAATAGAGATGATGGTGACTGGCTTGCCTCGGCTTGTTTTTGTTAAAGATTTTTTGAATTCTGATGACGGTCATTGAAATTTTTCAAAGCCATTTGATTGGGCTGTCTGCAACTAAGGCCACTAAGGGTGCCTATGGTATCCCCTCCATATATAAGGGCCCGATCTGAAATTTTCTTCCTATTCGATTTCACTTCTCAGTGAGGTTACAGCTCTTGACATTGCGATCTTGTGTTCTACATAGCCGACGTTTTCCAAAGTGCACATCTCGGACTTCAGAATCAGTTGTCTTTTTCTGCTTTTTGTCTTACGTATTTTCGTTAGTGCACTGTGCTCTGTGCTGTTCGTGAGATTCAAAGACTTAAGAAACGTTACCCAAAAATCTACTTCTTTGTGGATTTCCCTGGCGTTTTGTGCGGCTGTTTACCATCTAGCAACCATGCCGGTGTTGAAGGAAGCCAAGTACAGAGTCCTGAACAAAGACGCGTTGGAGATTTTGGACATGGAACAGGTACGTTGTATTAGACACTCTCTTACTTTTACATGTGTTTTGAATACTTTGTTTCGCTAATTAAACTTTGAGTATTTCGCTAATAACGATATAAGAAAATGCGTTGCAGCTCTTTGCTAATGTATTTATAAAACGTTGTTTAGAATTGACGATGCTTTATCACCTTCTCTCTCTCTTTCTCTCTCTCTCTCCCTCTCTCTCTCCCACTCTCTTTCTCTCTCGCTCTCTCCCTTCTCTCTCTCTCTCTCTCTCTCTCTCTCTCTCTCTCTCCCCCTCTCTTTCTCTCTCGCTCTCTCATTCTCTCCCCCCTCTCTCTCTCTATTTCACTCTCTCTCCCCTTCTCTTTTATAGTACGCTAATAAATTTTGTGGTCTAGGAATACTTTTACTTTTCTTACGGAATTTCGTTGAAATCAGAATCCAACAAAATCAATTGTTCCATACAATCAGTTAATCGACATATGTAAGGGTCCACAGAAATGATTTTCATGAACAATAGTTGAAGATCAGACAGAAATATCAGAGTATGTGAAGGTTGCAACGTATAGTAGACTTCTAACTATAACATTAACCCATTGATACTTCCACGGATATAGTTGATACTAACCCTGCTTAAAACCCTAACAAACTCACACACACACAAACACACACTCACACACACATACTTAATCTAAAAGACCTGGTTAACAGACTGCCATTACCATACACATATCATTTGCTTTGAGTGGTCTAGAAAGGTGAGCCTATGTTAATTAAATAACTTTGAGCGCTACCCTTTTTTCAACACAACTTTTGTTCATCCAGTTGGTTTGATGACCATGAACTGTGTGTGTGTGGGGGGGGGGTGGTGTGTGTGTGTGTGTGTGTGTGTGTGTGTGTGTGTGTGTGTGTGTGTGTGAATGTCCACAACCGTCTCCGATAGGACTAACCTAGAGTTACAGAGGGGGGGGGGGGGGGGAAACTCTCCCATGATAACAAACAACCTCAAAGATATCTCGGAAAATTCTTGCTCAGATTCAGTCTGAGCTCCTGACTCCGGTGACCAGTGTTTTAGTGACTACCACATTCAAGCAGGATTTATGTACTAATGAAAATCACTATTCCGTTAGAGAAGAAATATGCAGTACTCGTATCAATGTTGCTTCTTCTATGTCTACAGTCTAGCAAAACTGCACCATCCGTGCTGCGTCTAGTTCGTCCTTTAAGACACAAAATGCGATAAATAAGTTGCAAATGTAATAATTCTGTCATGATTTTTTAAAGTGCAATATGCAATGTTTTATTTTTATTGTTTTATATTTTTACAGGAGGGCCAAATAAACTAAATGTCGTTACTAAGAAAAACAAATTCTTTGCGAACATCATTTTTAAGAATACATTTTTGACGATAACTTCCTTCTTATCTAAAACGCGAATGTTGTGTTCTTGTTTGTGACGATGTAGCCGGTGTCTCTCATCTTAAACGACATGGTAAACTTTACAACAAAACAAAACAAACAACGCCCCTTGGACACTTAGGCATAATATTCTTGTAAAGATGAATGATGCTTCTTAGTTGTTAAGCTGTGAGAAATCTACACAACATCATTTTACTCACCAAAAGGGAAAACAAATCATTAAAAACAAACCCATTTTCTTAATGTCGCTAGTGTTGAATGTTGTTTCAGTACACAGTTTTTGTGTGTGCAGACGGGTCATCAGGCAATGTTAGGGATTTTTTAAAATGTAGGCATTTTAATACAGCTGTGGACACAATTAAGATTTATTAGGAGGCGGGCTTCTGACCCTGCCTGCCAGGACGAACCGAGGCTGAGAGGGATACAACATCCCATCCCAGCAGAAAGATCGAGATTCTCGATAACTATTCTCCTCTCTAGGGAATTGAACTCGGATATCATGTGTGGGATGACTGCGCGGCTAACCGCTACACCATAGACATGTTAGGTATTGACGTTAAGAAATGTAGCTAGTTCATGAATTCGTATATACATAGTATTTAGAAGTATTGGTGTGTCTTTCTTATTTATCATGAAATGTAAACAAAGGCCCTTACTCTTTTATTTTAATCTCGTCTATCTTTTTGTTTCATTTACTCAAACATTTTTTTTCGTTCACCCATTTCATGTTTTATCTTGTTACAACAATAGTCTCATTATGCTTCCAATCATTTATCTAATCTTGATTTCTCCTTTCTCTTCTATTTCAGATGGAACTTCTGGCCGACAGAGGCAACTGGGAGGTGATCGTAGCGGCGAGAGTTCGACAACCGAAGGTGAAAAGGGTTCTGAAGAAGTTCTTGTTGTTTGAGGATGACGACGATACCTCGAGGATGTGGAAACGGTCCTCCTTTGAACATGAGCTGTCCTTCTTGCAATCCCTGGAGCACCATAACATCGTCAGGGTTTTGGCTGCTTTTCAGTGCCCGTCCTATTTGGGCTTTGCGATGGGGTATCATCCCACGGATCTTTCCCATGGACTGCTTGACATGACCTACTCCGAGGTGGAATCCTACACAAGTCAGCTCACGGACGTCATGTGCTACTTGCACGGTCAGCGCATCATCCACGGAGATCTCAAGCTAGGGAACGTTCTCCTAGACAGAGCCGGCAGGGTCAAACTCTGTGACTTTGGTCACTCTCAGGTCATTCACGAGGATACAGACAAGCCCGACGGGTGGGGAGGCACCGACGGTTATAAGCCACCAGAGTTATACCACAGCCAAGTTCACAACGCCTTCAAGATGGACAACTACTCCCTGGGCATCTTGCTGTGGGCTTTGTTCTTCGGGACTGCTCCTCGCAACAACATTGACTATCTGAAAGAAGTGGACAACTGTTCGTTCTCAAGCC